TTATAGTTACATATAGGGACCAAATGTATTTATTCAATCACGGTACCAATTAGCTATACAGCGATCGAGCCCAACTGACGTGAAATGGTTGCCAAGTTTGTCGACTTATCGCCAAATATGGTGACAAAAATTAGTCGCCAAAACCGTTGCTACCTTGGCGATATATCACCAATTTAGCGAGATACCCATTCACTCAATCTTACATCCACTTGCGCCCGTAATCTTATTTTTCCGGCAAAACTTCGGACTTTTTCAAACATTTCATGTTACATTATGGGAAAAATAGTATAATTTCACATGTAATTTTCCTGAAGTTATTAACACATATACAAAATCCGTAAAAGTAACTCTTCAGTAACTGAAAACGAAGAACTTACGGATCCGAGATTTCTGCATTTCAGCGTGGACGAGATGGTATTAAAATTGTCATTTAAGTCTAGGTGAAAGTTGAGTAAGGTATTGCATTCAGCGAAAATAGCTGTGAAATGTTTTCTTGAAAAGAAGTTAGGCCTGGTAAAAATTATTAACAATCCCCTCTCCCTGATGTTGTTGCTGCTGAAAAACGTTTCGCTATTAGTCTATGTAATATAATCGAGTTATTGACTGTAACTTAAATCATTTACATATAGGATCTTTTTGTTTTATTTGATCTCATTGGTGTCTGGTTGTAGCTGCTAATTTTAAACGAAGGTTTAATGTATTTTAAATCATGAACAGGAAACTACAAATTCAAGAAAATACATTACTTCGGCTATGCCACTGAAGATGGATTTAGGATTGGCTTAAAAATGGAATGGATGATGGATTTAGGATTGGCTTAAAAACAACTGTCTTAATCCTTTATTAACATGGTTAAAAAAATCTTTAGGCATAAATTATCTTCTTCGTGTATTTAAATCAAACTATTTTAAGTTCTCTACGTCTAAAATTAATCGATGGTGGACAATCTAATATTAAATGTGATCTGTAGAATAGGCATTCTAATAGCTAATGCTGTCTTAATTTTACGTAATTGTGTTTTAAAAGTTTCATCTTTTATAGAGAAAACTTTTTGAATGTAAGTTAAGGAACCTTAGGAACTGAAAAAAGTGTTAATCCTAAAAGATAATATATAAGAGTTATTAGAATTTGAACGAGAACATAGCCAGTTCAGCTTGAATATAATATATTTTAGTTTGCCACTTTAACATTACATCATTTATAACAAAATTTCGGCTATAAACGTCTCTGTTTTCGTTAGGACCTACTCGGGTGTATGCTGTCTAACTAACCATAATTATTTTTCTGGCGCAAGAGGCTTTCTGATGGATCTTTGCCATCCCTATTTCTTACCGATTTTAATTTCGGAATTAACTGTCGGCGGTGCAGATGCATTTGTGCGTGCCATTTCAATCGCCAAAAATTAGAAATACTTAAAAGTTCTCCCTTACCTTACCCTCCCTCCAACACCGCTGCCACCACCCACCCGAATACTCCTGTTGAATCCGTACTTCTCAGGCCTTCCATCACAGACGATTTTAGGCACTTTCAGGAGCCATTAAAACGACATTTTTCAGCAAACTTTTACACGCTGGGAGGAAAAGTTTTCCTGTTTTAAAAGAGGGCGGCAGAGGGGAGGATTATACAGGGCGCGCTTTCGTTCAATGAAAATGGAAAGTGAGTTACAGGGAGGGAGATGTGGGGAGGCGTTGAGAATATAGGCGCGCGAAACTCATTCAGGCGTTAGGCCGCAAAACTAATCCCTTACCTGCCATAAACGTACCATTAATTAGAATTCAGATGTCATGGCGTGAGTCGTGGCTAAGCTAATTACCGGCGTTTCTTAAAACCTCGACGGAGGACCCCCGAGCTGTGTGCGATTTTTGGTTTTACTACTGCCATCGCCGCCGTCACGTTTTAAAAGTTTTCCTTTCCCTGCAGAAGTCGTGGTGGTGTTTCACCAACGCTCGATTTCCCCCAGCTAGGACACCACTGTCTGGGTTGTCGCTATCCAGGGAGGACATTTACTGTTTTCTTGATTTCTGAAGATTTGCTTCTTAACGCAGTTGATTCATCTGGTTTACTTTAATATGGTGAACTTTGACCGAAGCAGGCCAGTTCTGCATTTTTGTAAGTACACCGATTGTGTATGGGTTGATTCTGATGCGTCCAAAATAGGGTTCGGAAAAAGCTTATGCCTCTGAAAGTAAAAATATTTTGACGATATATTAAATTTTCATGAACACAGGAGACTTATATTTCACGCGAATCTCATATATTTACAGATCCATTTACAGATTCAAAATTTATATGATTTTGTAGAGATCAGAGGACACAAAAGCTGAGGCCGAACTTGTCCCTACCCTTAGCTTTTGTGTCCATATGCCTCGGAGCCTTTGCCTTCTCTGCTCGAAGAACGTAATTCGCTTTCCTTCAGTGAGGAATCAATATCAAACCCCTTTGCAGATATCTTCTACGACTTACTAACACGGCCGCTTGAAATATTTGCAAGAAAGTTAAAATACTATATGGCTGTTGACTTGATTTTTTAAGCGTTGCTATGTCTGAGACGGATTAGTGTCACTTTGGCCAACTCGGTTTTGCTCATTATTTTAAACAGCGTATACATTCCCTATCTAATAAAGTTCAGCAATAAAAGTTGGAACTGGACGTTATTGCAAAAGTTGATATTATATTTTATTGTCTTGCTTTTTAAATAAACACTGAGTTTAATTAGACATCTTGTGGGTAATGATGATACGCATTCTTGTTATACAATTTAACACTTAAAACTCAGTGGTTCTTAAAACTATGCTTCGTGGAGCCTTGAGTCACCGTTGGTAGCTTACAGAGGCGTTAAGAGCTATTCCAGTATTTTTACGGAAATTATACGTATCCCCTTGGTTTTAGAATCGGAGCACGGATGTGTTGCGGAGATGTATTAACCATTAAGCAAAATAAGCACGTACTTAAGCCATTAAGGTAGGTCACCATCAAAATGTGGATTTGATGGGAAAAACATTTAACAGGTAATGTGCAAACTACGGTTTCTGAGCAATGTATCAGCTGATCAGTTGGTATGGAAATTATTTTCAAATGGAAATGCGATAAATTTCGCCTGCATTCAAGGCTAAGAACGAAAGCCCCATTGGAATGTACTCCTGTAGGAGGATATTGAAGACCTCCTGTAGGAGGATAATCTGAATGCACCTCCGCTTAGACAGGGTAACAGTTAGTAACAACGCTGGCTGCCGTACCGAAAGGCCCAGGTTCAAATCTCGGAGAAGGCGATGATGTTTGTCAGCGTATAGTGTACGTCAAGGGAACAATCAAAATACACAGCGAGCCGAGCCGAAATCCTTTCGAGAAGTTGGTGGCAGGGGAAGAGAGGTGGGAGACCATCACAACTCATTCCAGCATGTTCTCCCGCGGAATTCCATCCGGGACGGAAGCTTAGCCGTTAGCAACGTCCGGCGATACCCGATATGCTTAGTTGAATGCACAAGTGCTAGCCTTGCTTCAGATTGTACATGTAGAGGGACATTTTATTGAACTATCTTGTACATCTTATTAGCTTTTGAGCTTGTACGTCTTAGCTTAGATGTGAGCTTCTTATTCACAGGAAAAATTCCGCAACGGATGACTGACTGACTGCTGAATATCAGTAAAAAATGAACGAACAGTTCCGTATTCAATGTCATACTTGTGCAAATATGGATTTTTCAAAAAGCAAGTATTGTGAGAAAAGTCGTTTTGGAACAGTGATATGCTTATTTTGTATCAGTTGCTTCTGAATTTAAAATACATGTTTCATTTATTATTATTTACGTATTTTGGCGTCCTGTGAGCATTAGATAAGTGAATATTGTTACTCTTAGCTGGTAAATTGGACGCCGTCTTCCGATATGCTAAGAGTGCCACTAACCGAAAATGTTTGGGAATTATTTAGTTTACTAACAGGTGCAAGCGCGTTGGCTTTGCAACATTATCTTCGCATGTAATACGATACAATTTCAATTCATGATACTCTCCATCTAAAGAAAGCTGGGCTGTTAAGCGTCTGCTGCAATTAAATGTTGTGATTCAGCCAATCGTTAAACTCTGATTTCCCTCGTATTTTTTAGCGCATTGAGTGCGTATGAATCTTGTTAGCTGTTAAGAAGGGGGAAGAAACATTTATTTCTGAGCCACTTAAGTGAAGCTCTGTACTCGTTATAAATCTTTCTGTCCCTCCCAATCTTCTTGCTCTTAATCTCTCTGTTGATGACTTATGCGGAACTTCAAGAGTTCGTTGAATGATGATCTGCAGCACACCAGAAGACCAAGTTTTTGCGCTTGAATTTGCCACTCATTCGATGAAAAATTATCCGATAAAATAAGTTGTCGCTACTGGAACTATTAATCTATACATGTGCGAGCTGTTGATATATATTCATCCGTGAACACGTGCGATCCTCATAGCAAGAGCATGCGGCAGATGGAATGTAATATAGCAACGTTAGTAACTTTACTGGAATAAGGAATGATCGTTATTTTCTCTAAAGGTTCATGTTCAGTTGTATAGACATTACATTATTTCGAAGCAGGAGACATCAAAAATGAGCAATGCCCTCGCCGGGACTCGAACCACGGACCTCTCGAATACGCGTCGAGCGTGCTGACCACTACACCACGAAGGCATGCGAAGAAAGCTGGAGAAATACCTTATACAGTTAGCAACTGCAAGCTCTGTGTTTCGAATCTCGGCGAGCTGGTTGCTTGTGTTTCTTGCTTCGAAAAGCGTAACAGACTTCACACTCTTAACAAAATCTGTTTGAAAGCAACTAAAACCAAGATGATCTCTTTTATCGCCTGTCCATCAACTGCAATTGGATGTGTTAGTGATTGAATTTGATAAACGATATGCTGAGAGTTTAGTTGTCATAGTTACGCGTCCAATATTAGCTTAGCTATTCGCATGTAAATTCTTTTGTTGTGCAATACTCGTTTTATTATATAATGTTGTTATTTCTGTGCTGCAGGAGGAAGAGGCGGAATTTCAGCAAACAGGCGACGGAGATCCTGAACGAGTACTTCTATTCCCATCTCAGCAATCCTTACCCAAGCGAAGAGGCGAAAGAAGAACTCGCCAGGAAGTGTGGTATCACGGTATCTCAGGTAATGATACAAACTATCCGTTCTCGTAAACTTATCAACGTTTTCCTTATTTCAAAAAGTGCCCCCCCCTTTTTTTTTTAATACTGGGACACATTTAAATATTCAAGGTGCTTAACGTTAAAAAAATAAAATAAAATATAAAATAAAAAAAATCGAAAATTTGTTCTCGAATTAGCTTCTGAGTCGATTTGATTAAACTTTAAGATTCCAATTTGATTCAATTTTAAGATTATTAGCCCAAACGGGACGTTTAATCTCGAATGGGATAGTTTCGAACCGGCTTTTGCGTTCAGTCACTATAAACGGTTTCAAATTGTTGTCACCCAGTATTATCGCCCTGTATCACATTTAAAGAAATTAAATAATGAAGAATCTGCATGAATGTATGCATGTTTCTCGCATTGTGAAAAAACAACGGTTCCTAAAGCCATCCAATTTTGAATAACGGAACATGGGCACGTGGAACATGCACCCGAACATGGACACCTGGAAGCCCGAATTTTGAATTTCGAATTTGTTTTATTATCTGTGTCATATTTTGAAAAACTTAACCGAAGTTTTGATTGATAAACACAACGATTTGAAAGCGAGCAGTGGCAGCACTGTAAGGAAGAAACCAAATTTATCTCGACGCTAGACTGTCAGAAATTTTAAAGTTATGCAATTTTCAAATATTTTGTGATTTTGCTGTTGAATCGAATTTTAAGTGGCGTAAGACTGAGGGAGGGGATTAAAATTTAAAAGCTTTCAAATTTAACATTACGCCCAAAGGGCTTTTTTTTTTTTAACGTTTTGTGTGTTACCTTTATTTATTAAATATCGTATTTTTCGCACTTAAACCATAAAATTCAGTTCAATGGTAATATCGGAAAATAATTTTAATTTCAATTAACATATCTTTAGAATTTCCGATACACAGTCTCGCCTGCTGGAGATAAAAAGGTTTGTTTATTATTATTATTATTATTATTATTTCCGTAGAGTGTTGCCATTGCTCGCTTTTAAATCGTTGATTTCGTTAATCAAAAATTCGTTAAAGTTTTACAAAATATGAAATAGATAATAAAACAAATTCCAAATTTGGGCTTCCAGATGCCCATATTAGGAGAAGGATTACGTTCTTCAAAATTGGATGGCGCTAGCTACCGTTGTTTTATCCCAATGCGAGAAACATACATACATTTACGCAGATTCTTCATTATTTAATTTCTTTAAATATAATACAGGGCTATAATGTTGGGTGGCAACAATTTGAAAAGTGACATTTATAGTGAATAACCGACATTTATAGTGAATCAACGCAAAATGCCAAAACGAACATAATAGTGCTGGGCAAATTACCCCTTTGGATTAAAAATGTGTGCCTACACTTAAGGCTGCATCGGGAATTCGTAACGCATACTGCTGTGCTGCTTTTAAAAGTTTTGTAATTTTGCTGTTGAACTGTAATATAGCGTAAGTGCGAAGAAAATGATGCTTAATAATAAAGCTAAGCCCCCCCCCCACCAAAAAAAGGGTTAGTAGCAACCGACTGGTAAAGTGCTAGTTCAGCGAGAACCCACCTCAACAAAACCCTTTTTTGGGGGAGGGCGTTAAAATCGGAAACATTTCAGACTTTTTATTTATCATTTTCTCCCCCGCCCCTCTATTTTATTTTGCAAGGAATTATCGCCCTCCTGCTTCCTCGTACTCCGGTAATGTAACTCAGTTAACAGGTTGAAGATCGCAGTTCAGATCTCGTGAAGAAACAATTGCTTTTGCGTACTGAAAATGTAATAAAATATTGCAAAATATTTAATCTTCCAAAACCTTTTTGGAAAGGAGAGACTTGTTTTGTTGCCATCGCATATTCTGCCTTACATCTTGAAAAATTATCTTCATGATTCCTTTTAGGACTTTCTCTTGTGAGATAAATAATTGTGATTTAAAAATTAAAATGTCGGTCAGTCCATAAGTTCGTGCGCATTAAGAGTATGCGTGGAATTCACTATGACGCATTTACTAAAACAATGCAATCTTGAACCTGCTGAAACTTGTCATCGTTTAATTAATATATTTCAGTTCATCACCCACTTTCGTAAATATGGAACGCATTTTAGCACCCGCAGAAGATGAATATAGATAATCAGTACAAACGTGCTGTGCTACATTTTTTATTTTCGTGTGGTGAATCTGCCAGGTTTGCAGCGATAAAAATTAATAGTGTACATGGTAAACACACTATAAGTGTGTAAGGACTTTGACTTAATTGTTAAACCAGAAATGGTTTAACAATTTTAAAGAAAGCAGCATGGATGATGAACCCCGTTCAGGACGTTTTGAACTGTTATAACCAAATCAAACGATTCATTCGGAAGTTTATAGTGAACAACTTTGCCGTCTAAAATCAGAATGGATTAAAAAAACGCCCACGATGGGTGAATTTCAAGAAAGTGTTGTTTCATCGTGATAACGCTAGTCCGCATACGGCTCGAACAGCGCTGCAAAAAATGAGTGAATTTAATTGGGAGGTTTTGCCACATCCTGCTTACTCCCCAGATATTGCCCCGAGTGATTTTCACTTATTTCGTACCTTATAAAAGTTTTTACTGGGAAAAAAATTTAATTCTAAACAGGCTGTGCACAATGAACTTTCATGTCTTTTGACATCAAAACCAGAGTCTTTCTACGGCTATGGCATAAAAAAGCTGCCTGTAAGATGGCGAGACATTGTAGATAATGGAGGAAAATATATCATTGATTAAAATGCTAAATTGTGTGTTTTTATATTATTTAAAAATTTACCAAAAAATGCGCAGGAATTTATGGACTGACCCAATATTTTAATATTACTAACGTTTTACTAATTTACGCTATTTAATGCTTCTTAAGTTATAACTAACTACTCGAGTCGGCGATCAAAATTATGAAACTAGGTTTCTGTCTGCTTTGATTTAGGGGGAGGGCGAAGGGTGATGAAGAAATACAAAGAAAAGTGAGGGGGATCTTGCAAGATTTAAGTTTCAATGATAAAATTGGAATCTGCAGAAGCAAACGGAGTTTATTTTTCACGTTTCCGTATCGGCAGAATCATAAGCCTCTGAGCTGGTAAATAAAGGAAAGTTTTCCTTATTAGAGATTAATTTCGAAATCATCTAGTGAGGAATTTATCTGATTATAGTTTTTTTATTTCCAAAATTAAATAAACCGCATTACAAAACGAATCAGCGATGCTGTTCGGAGTGAAAATTCTGGTAACTTTTGAACTTTTCTTTTCGTCAAAATTTCTGATTGATGGTAGGAAAAGGCTGCGGCAAAATCATACTTTTGACCAACTAATCAAAATTTGGTTAATTATAAACTCGAATACTTTAAGGTTGCTGAGAGGATACCAGACTTTTTCAATACATGCATTAATTATTGAAATTGTAATTAGTTCAAAATTCAAAACTTTTGACACTGTGCAAATATTCCTTGTTCAGTAAACAAAGACCAAAGCCTTGCATGGCTATATATGGAATGGCAGTTAATATTAACCTTCACACGAAAAAATGGATGTCCATTGCTTTTACGCAAAATACATGGTAATCAATTCTGAGAAAAGTCTACACTTTACAAAACATTCTTTTATTGACAACTTCCGAATGAGTTGTTATTTAAATTAGTTTTATATTAACATTTGGTGATCAAAATATGTCGTAAATAAGGTAAATTTAGCATTTGGGATTTTTTTGACAAACGGTTTTCAAGCCATACGTCCCAGCCGTAGTTAAAGGTGGACTACATAGGTTCCACCACGTAGCGATCGATTTACTATAAGCACACCTGTTATTCTGGAAAACTTTATTATATGAAATATATTTTATATCGCATGGTACAGGGTTATCCGACATTACACATTGAGTAACTCTATCTGTTCTTTTCTCTATGTTCATTTGTGTACGGCGAACATAACGGCGTCTTGATCTTCCAACTACTGGAAGATGATCCCAAACATTCAAGAGATGCTAAGTAAGTACTTTTTAACCTAGCAGGAATTTTTTAACTTTTAGTGGGGCTTATATGTTCCGTTAAAGTCATATAAGTCAGAGGGTTAAATCGTAAAATTTTTTTAAATTCAAATACGTTGCTGAGTGTGAAGTGTGCAAATTATTGTACGTTCTTATAATGAATATAGGTATATTTTAAAAACCAAATCAACAATGATTTTACACTGCTGTGCAGGTTACGGACCAAAACGGTCTCGAAGATTGAAAATTACCGAAATGCTAGCATAATTTTTAACCTTTGGTTGATGAAATTTAATATCGGACAAAGCATTCGGTTATCGTTTGCGAATGTACGTGAGCTGAAGCCGAATAATAGAGTAAAAGTGGCAAGAATATATACTTATTAAAAAAGCTGTTTGAAAAGCGTGGAATTTATAGAAAAAGACTGAAAGAACTAATCTTTAAGAAACTGGAAAACGCTCTACATAACTGAGTCTTTGCATTCGAAGGAAAAACTACTGACATAACGTCAGTAGATTTGCAGACAGCTTTAATAGGCGTCTGCATAGATTTTATGTATTGTTTATATTTGTTATCTAGTTCGTAAATTACATTCCATCCTTTATTATCTCTCTGTGTGGAAGTATTCGAACGTGACATTTTACAAGACAGTTTGAAGCAAGCCAGCAGGACTTGGATTGCGCTATCTTTCAGGTTAAGCAAAGCAACAGCAGCAACAAAAAACAAACCTTGTTCCAGATAAAAATCTCGGAACATGTCTATTTTCCTTACAAGTAAGAATATCCACGGAGCTTCAGGGTGTGCTGGAAATTTACGTAGTCCATCCGCGACACGTTATTAATATTTATAACCTCTCGAGCGCGATACGAACGACAAACTCATTAAATTATAATGAATCAAGACTCGGGGGAAGCAACCACCGCTCGCCAGAATAAAGAACGTATTTATATGAGCTCGCCGCCCAGTAACCCTCATCGCTGTATGTATGCATGCCTCACCTTTTCGTATTTTGCCGCGAAATCTTATTTACCGTGACGTCATGTCGGTCACGTGACGAACAGCTTCAAGTGAGTGCCTTTGTTTTATGTGCCATTTTGGATGGACTGGCATCGTTGTTGCGTTTTTGTTGTTATTTCTTGTCTCTCCGACACTCGTTGACATGTTTCGTCAACGCGGGCGCAGTCTGAGAAATAATTCATGATTGCATGATCATTGCTTATCGATAGCCAGAAGTATGAAATTTGTATCGATATTTAGCTTTACATTTAAATAAGAGGCCTCAAGTGGGCTGGTAGTGTTATTTATATGAACAACAGTAACACATTAAAAATTTTTTTTTCGGCTAGACCAGGTAACACAAGGGGAAAGGCTAGACTTCGATGGATAGATGCTGTAGAGGAAGATTGTTTAGCCCTTAGAACTAAGAATTGGAGCAGTTTGGCTGCTGTAGAGGTAAGCAAGGCCTTCTGAACTAGGCCATTCTGTTCAAGGCCTTGCTATAGAATTAGGCCGCCAAGGCCTTCTGTTCAGAAGGCGGCCTTGCTATAGAACTAGGCCAACAAGGTTGTCATTGCAATGAAAACTTCTCTTATTTCATCTTCATTTATTAGCGATGGTAAATTTTCATACAATTACCGATGGTTCCATCTGATTATGGTCCTTTGTAAAGATTGATTGTTGTCCTTTGTAAAGATTGATTGATTGGAGCAGTTTAACTACTATAGAGCAAGCCCTTCTGAACTAGGCCAGAAAGCTTTGCTATAGAACTATTCTGTTCAGAAGGCCTTGCTATAGAACTAGACCAACAAGGCCAAGGCGTACCCCGGACTGTCGCTCAATGGAATGATGATGATGATACCTTCCCTTATTTTTCTCTATATTGCGACAGTAACTCACCATAAATGGGCGGGCGCGCACTCCTGCAGGTCAACCAGTATTCGCCAGCGCAAGAATTCTTTGGAGCATCTCGATGGAAATCAGATTTTAATGTTCAGAATAGTGCCAGCACCTTTCTGCCGAACCGCCCTGTTCGGTGTAGTCGTTAGGGGTGCGGGCTACCATATTGTTGTGCTCGGATTGTAACAGGAGAAGTTGTCCGTTCCCCGTCTTGCGGTCAATGCCGAGTCGAATCGTTTGCATCGTGAAACAAGTTCCTTTCTATGCATTCTCGAAGACCTTCAACCATTTCCGACTAGTGCGCCATTCCCGACCATTGGAACCTTGTAAAAGAAATTTTTACGTAGATGCCAGCATCCTGTTGAATTACTTTTATGCGAGTAGAGTTCTAATTTACTATTTGAATTAATAAGGCGAATGAAAAAGACAAAGATGCCGACACATGTTTTGAGGTTGCTTTTTTTCAAGTTGTGAGGTGATTTTCATAAAGGTATCCGCATCTGTCTACACAAGGGTGTACAACCGAGCACCTAAAGACAGTACCATCTATGGTGGAACCTGTAACTACATTTTAGGAAATCCCGATACAGTTTGAAACAGAATAGCTTGATTTAAAAAAAAAAAAAAAAAAAAAAAAAAAACCAGTAATTTTAAACGATTTTTGGTTTTTAATGTTAAAAGTCTCGAAAGGAAAGGTTTCCAAATATCTTTGGCAGAAGAGTAAATGTATAAGTTAAAGAAAATATGCCGTATTTCAGGCTTACATCTTATAATCTTAAAAAAAAAAAAAAAAAAAAAAAAAAACTGTATCAAAAACATTCTTTTCACTCCGCAGTTAAAATATGCTTTATTTAAAAACAATAATTTTAAATAAATGTTTGATTTCAAGATACAACTCAATTTAACATGGAAACGCTTTTATCTAATTATTAGGTATCTAATTGGTTTGGCAACAAGAGGATACGATATAAAAAAAATATAGGCAAAGCTCAAGAAGAAGCCAACCTCTACGCTGCAAAAAAAGCAGGTAAGCTGTTTTCTTCATATCCTCCGTTTTTATGTGATAAAATGGATCAGTGAATCCTTAAATCAAGAATGACTGCCGTGTGTCTGAATGATATTTCATTTATGTAATTTTTATCATATTGTCATATTTATGTCTTTGTAGCCGTAATTTGTATTCATGATTATTGTTTATATTTCCACTGGTTTGCTTCGTGATTTACTTGCTTTGTTCAATTTCATGTCTGTTGAAGAAATGATTGCCTGTAAATATTACGAATGCATGTATGTACAAAGGTCCTTGATAGCTTGGTGCAAATATTTGCAAATCGAGAAGTCCTGTTGTTGATGCTGGACCTGAATGGGATCAATTGAATGTTCATAGTGGTTTATTCGAAATGTCCTCCACAAGGATCGCGGATCTTGGCACGATTGTCCAAAGCAATACCTAACATGAAGATCATTCCGCCGTGCTGATATATCAGAGAAACCAACTAAAACCTGTGGGGAGTAATGAGTAGAACTCCCGCAATTTTTGTTAAGATAAGTATGAAGTTGGGAAGTGGGCAGCGCTGCGACGATCTGAAAGCATTCTCCTTCTTTTTTCCCGCTGGTTCCAAATTATTAAAATGAGCGCACGTGTCTGCTTTTCTGGATCTGTATTTGCTCGTTGATACAGTTCTCACTTGCTTTCATCGTTCTTCAGTAACTGCATCACCCCCTTGTGGATTTTAGAATTACTCATTCATAACGTATCAGGTGAGAGCTGATTTCGAACCCAGTCGAAGCAAAATAAAAACCCATTTTAACTGGCAAGTGTGCGCGGAAAGGGAGAGAGAGAAAGAGATAAAGAAAAAGAAAGTCAAAGGGAGTGACCCTCAATCGCGCTGGCCCGTCGTTTTCATCAGTATAATGGGTTCTGTTCTGCAGATAGCTTTGAATTGTGGGGGGCTCTTTCTGCTTGATTGCAGAGCCCTGAGCCATAGGCGTCGCCTCCACCAGCGCCGATAATGACGTATGCCATGTCGGGGGGGTCCGTCCCACACTTCGCACGAGCGCAGTTTTAGGCCTAATCCGGAAGCAAGGAATCCGCTCGATGGAGGATAACAAGGATCTGTGATTTGCGATTCTCCCGTATCGTCATACATCAGGATCAATGACGGACGTATACGGAAATTATTCTTCGAAAGAATGTATATTTTGGGGAGGAAAATTCCCTCGGCTAAGCAGTTAAATATTCCCCTCGTATCCTGCGCATAAAATCACCAAACTGTATAAAACCACTTTTTTTTTTCATTTTTGTTAAGATATTTATCCATTGACATGCTTTTATAGAAATATGTATTTGTACATAATGACTGTAAAGTGGAGAAGCGAATTAAAATAATATATTGAAGTGAGCAGTTTGTTTTTGAGGAGACATATGTTCTCTGCATGAAAATACCTAAGCCATAACATATGTTATTATATTACATTTCTAGAAAATCTATATCGACTGAAGTGCTTTTTTCAAAAACCTCCAAGTATCCTTATATAATTAAACTTCGAGGAATGAAGAAGTGCCAGAAATTAATTTGAGCATTTCTTGGAATTCTCTCCTTCTCATTGAACCCTAAGTAAAAGCTGGATAGTTAGACATGACTATAACAGTGTAAACATTTTTATTTGCTATATATATTTAAAAAAAATAATGGCAACAGATTTTGGGATAATTTGGAAAGGTCCTCATCCAGTATACGTCTAATAACTGGATCCTTGTATTTTGATTTGCCCAAAAAAATGTGCACACGATATTGTGGGCTCAGCCCAAAGTAGGAGGGATAGGTTAATTAATGAATGATAAAATTTTCAGGGTTTGTCAGGTTCCTCCTTCTTTCTATTCAGAACTGTCAAGTCCATAAAAACAAGAAATTTTCGTAAGAAGTGTAGAGACATTAGGTATTTTTTGGATGCAAGAGTCACAGAAAAATAAGCAAAGCCTTCGCCGGGAATCGAACCACGGACCTGTGGAATACGCGCCCAGCATGCATACCACTACACCACGAAGGCACGCTAAGAAGGCGGGAGAAGACAAGATTCAAAGAACTGGGAGTGAAAATAAGCAGAAAAAAGCTGTGGAACGGCCTTCGATTTTTCTATGTCTGCCGTACAGTTTCTAAATAATTTGTAATATCTGATCTTATGTACAATGTTTAGGATAATTTACTATTAATAAATGTTTGCTTTAATTTTATTATCAATGTGGTGATTAAACCTCGTGGTTCAGCATATTGTTTTTTTTTTTTTCGTTAAAAGTCAGCATTTGAGAAAAACAGGTGAAAGTGAGCTGTGAATTAAGAAAACTGTAATTACGTTCAGTAAAAGGATTTTATTACTTGAAGTGTATCTTTAGTTCCTTTTGAAGATAAATTGTGGACCCAGTATTGTGAATATCTGATATTTAATTAAAAACAACAAATTATAGTGTGATTTGTGTGAAGTTAGGAACATTTTTGCAGAAATGAGTTATTTTAATAGTTATGTGCCTTTTTCTGCCTATATATTAGCAAAACACAAGGAAGAATTGGCAGCATGATTGTAGATTTAGTGTTAACCAGGATGCAGCAGAGGCGGTCTATCATATTACACTTCATACAGCTGTGCATCATTACATATTAGACGCCTCCCATTCGGGATAGTGGTTAGTTACGCTGACTGCCATACCGAAAGGCCTTGGGTTCAAATCTCGGAAAAGGCAGGGATGTTTGTAAGTGTATATTGTCTGTGCAGTATGGGGACACTCTAAATATGTGGCGAGCCGAAGTTCCTCTCGAGAGGTTGGTGGTAGGGAAAGAGGGGTGGGAAGCCATCAGACCCATCCAAGGTGCTTATCATCAAAATTGGAGATGGGTCACAGCAAAGTCAACTTGTCACCTGTATGATGCTGAAGTCTCTTGCCAACGACGGGCACAATCTTGCACTCCTTGCCACGATGAATTTCGTGAGCTTCTGCTAATGTTATTTTCAGATAAGTGAGATAAGTTACAACAACAGCATGTTAAACTTGCGAGTTCTCCATTGTGTTCTGTTTGTGACTCTAGACAATTCCACAGACATAGAACATTGAAACACATGCTCTGAACTGAATAGTTTTAATTCTGTCACCCAGAATTACTGGAAAACAAGACGGCGTGTAATAAAACTGAAATGGAATATATCATGTAAAAAACTAGCAGAAAACTCACTGCTTTCATGACTCCATTTAAAATTGAATTTTATGAATAAATTCAATAAAACTGCACATTATAATCAATATACTCGTAAAATCGCATATATGTAATTTTCATGCGTGATTTTATTTTATTACAAAAACTAGCTCCATTTCTTCAATAAAGTTAAAAAAAAATATCCTTCGTCCCGAATTCAGGTTTTTTTTTTTTTTTTTAAACAAAATATACTCTTACGAAATGTACGGTATTCGCATAAAAAAAAAAAAAAAAAAAAGAGAGAGAGTTCAAGTATTTTACGTCCTGGCAGAACGGAAAGATTGCCAACTGAGGGAAGTATTTGTTCCACACTCCATGTGCTAGCGATCTCGTGCAATAAGTGCATAGATATGTCTTGAATAATTCGGTCTTTCCTTTTATAAATAAATACATAAACTTTCACTTAGGATGAAATTTATACCTTTTTTTCACGTTTAGTTTTGCCATTTCGAAAAGCTCAACAATATTTTATGTCTAAAATTTCTGGTGGGTTTATTCTTAAACTAGTAAACCTGTTGTAAGTAAAATTGTTTCAGGTGTTAAATTGGAAGCTGCATGCCAAGATCAGATTTCAGATTCTAATTGTACGATTTTCGTATTTTTAATTGTTTTATTTTTTCGGAAATATTTGATGAATTTTTCGTAGTTTTTGAAATGTTACGCAGTATTCTAACGTTTTCAGATCACAGCTCTTTTTTTTTTTTTTTTTTTTTTTTTTTTTTTTTGTTTTTTTTTTTTTTTTTTTTTTTTTTTTTTTTTTTTTTTTTTTTTTTTTTATCTTTTATCTAAATGTACATTTACTTAAGTTATTATTCCAATTAAATAAATTGATTTTAAAAATATTTCCGGTTATACTGAAATAAAAAAATATGTGGTGTGATGCCATGAAAATCACGTAAATTAAAAATTAACTGTTAAACTGCCGAATAACAAGTTTTAAATTACAGAATTACTGAATTTGTGAATGATGTCGTCAGTAACTCTAGTGGGAAGACATTTCTCGAAAATTAAAGGGGGGCAAATAGACTGTTCTACAATTAAAAAAGTAGTCTTAGGCTATAAATAAATAACTGAAACGCGCTGGACACTTAAAATATTTTTAGTATCTAAAATACAAATAAACATTACGGAATCTGATTGGCGGAACGGATCTAATAAATGCGCCAGGCAATAAAGGCTTGGCCCCTTTAAACCAACCCACTATGAAATCTGATTGTATAGTAAGCTGAAATTCCCTGCACCCCTATTTCTGTCTCGTCGCAATTTGATTGGCCGAAGGCGAAGTATCACTGTAATTTCCAACGTCATAATAGGAGACCAAATATGATTGGTCCGAAACGCTGCGATTCCCAAGTGTGTGTAAAATAGCTCGGAAATGGGAAAAAGGGTATAAATGTTTTTTTTTTTTTTTCATCCCCCGACCTCAACTCCTTTGCATTGCAGTATATATGAGAAGGGGGATCAGTGATCTCCCCCCCTTTTCCATATACTTCAGTGCAGTTTTTGCCTTTCTTAGATTCGAGTGTACCTTATTATTTGAGCGGGAGGGAGAGAGGTCGCTGTTGTTTCTCTCTCTCTTTTTTTTTAACTTATCTGTAATAATTCGAAAACGAATCAAGTGTGGTTTGTCTGGAGCTTAAAAATATGGGACTGTAATTTTTATAGGAATTCGTCGTTTAAAGAAACAAGGTTACCGTGCGTTTATTCTGTAGTAAGCACATGTAATGATTAGGTTAATATTTTTATAGTGGAACATTCCCCCCCGAACTTTTGGGAAATT